TACGGCAGAGCTGACCGATCGCGAGAGAACTATTCCATTGTGCTGTTCATACCGTATTTCGTCCAATTTCCGTGCGAATTTGTCGGCAGTATCGCGCGCTTAGCGCGTTATCGGCGTCACTTTTTGACGCGATCAAACAATGCGTCTCCGGCCGAGTGTTAACTCGCATTGAAGCCCAGGTTGCGATCCAGTGCAATTCAGGATAAATAAATGCACACCTGCACTCTCGGCACATCGGCATGGTTGGCGCCTGCCGTTTCGTCTGTTCGTGATTATAAATAGGATTTGAATTTTATTGTCAGGAGCAGAGTGTCGTATGATTGAACGTCATGCCATATAACAATGATTGCCATGCAGACTATTCGCACTCAAACTAATGCGAATATGATTGACTATACGCAGTAAAAATCGAAATAGTCAATTGATTAGTTCATTAAGCATAGCTAAACCGAAATTCGGAACAAAATAACTTAACTTAAAAACTATATGACAGAAATAATATAATATAAAAATTCTGTAATCTAAAAGTTAGAATTTCAGTGAAGGTCTACCAAAATATTAATTTTCTTATAAGATAAATAATAAATAAAAAAATTACAAGTTATAAAAATTGGAATTTCTATATTTTTATATTTCTGTAGACGGTTTATAAATGACGCTTTATTTTTTAGATATGATATTAAATAAATTAAGGATCAGAGAGAGAGAGAGAGGGGGGGGAGAGTGGGTACTATTAAAAAGAAAAACAGAAATTTTTTATTGTTCCGGATTATATAAAAATCTAAAAAAAATTCCTTTATACTTGTCAAAGCTTTAACGAGTTTTTATAATAATAAAAGTCAGATATATTTTATTGTTAATTCAAATTTATCTATCAAATTCGCAATCAAAATATCAATGGTATCGTTGAAGATCTCATATTGCCGACGGAGGGTTAAAGAAATAATAAAAAGTTTTCTATTCACAATTAACTTTTTATAAAAATAACTTTCTATTCACAATTTTGTACGTACAATATTGCTGTGCACGAGGTCTTTATTCGCGAATTGTCTCACTAAAGGAACACATTGTAGGGCAAATTTTGTCTTTAACGGGAATATGTAAACGTTTCCATTTTGGACATTGCACTTTGAACATCGATGATCACGTTCGTGCCATGTTCGTTAAATAAAAATGTAAGTTTAGAAAACCAATTCCACGGCGGTCGTGTGTCGACCGTGTTTTTCCGGCACATCGTGCTAAAATTCAGACGCAAGTAGAAATCGAACGATTGCCGCGATATCACTATCCCTGTATCTCTTTACTGTGTTGTCGGGTTACGATACTGTGGCAAAGTAACGCATTCTCTCGAAACGGGAATTACGTTGCGCTTTTTCCCAGTTTTGTAACCATACTCTGACATACGGCCGGCGAATTTTTTTTACACGATTACCCGATCGTACCTGTACGAGGTATAAAGCATTCGCTTTCCCACCTATTCAATTTCTCTCTTTTTTTTCTTTTTTTTTTATTCGGCTCCATCAGTTTTTTCCCTAACGCTCTACAAATATTTGAGCGTCGACTATACCACCCCCGCCGAAAGAGCATTCGAGTCGAGTGAGCTTTCGCGCCCTCCCTCCGGGGCACTCGTCGTTCACCGATTGTAATCTAAGCCAATGCTTCGGCGCGCATTAAATGTCAAACGTTATACGCCTCTCTATTTCACGGCTCTGCGGTAGCGGGCACCGGGATGTTGGATGTGGCAGTCGGCTGGACAAACGCTTGGAAAATCGCGAGGCGGGATGCGATTGCCCCAACGGTTTACAACGCTCTTTGACGCGGTTCCGTTGTCACGTACCGCCATTCCGAGCTTCGATCGCCGCCCATTTGGCGGGTTACAGTCGTAACAACGTCGAAACTTCATTGCTTCTACATGATCTGCCCCGGCGAAATGTTCGCGTCGCGCATAAGAAACCGACATCATGCAGATCGTCGGGGGAATAGTTATAGCTTAAAAGACGCGATCCAAGAAAACGCCAAGATTTTCGACGATTTCGGGGAAGTCGGGGAAGAAGGTCAAAGGAGAATCACGAAGTTCGTGAAAACCTGACAATGCATGTGATCGTCGGAATCTATCGAATTTCAACGTCGCCCGTTGAATCACCGTTTCAACTTACGGTCGGTCTATATAGAATCTCAACGAAATCCCAATTTTGTCGTGATCGATGAACTTTGTTTGAATGAAATGCAAAACGCTGTCATTTTACGTTTAGGACAAGGGACGTTTCAAATAGAAGAGTAGCGACGATTAAACCGACAAATCCAATGAGAAACTTTCTCTTTATTTGAATTCCGTTATTACGAATTTTAATCGACATGGATGACGTGGATTCGTATCCAGATGCTGGATACGGTCCAGACGTCCGTTCGTCGTCTATTGGTGCGTACGATCATTTATTATTGGCGATGGGCCAACATCCGGATTTAGGATTGATGTGCCATGCAAAGCGCCGCACCGCCATGTGGCGGGCCACATTACCAACGACGTTATGCACCAGCACATTCACCTGTGCCGCCGCATTAATTGATGCACGTCTCTGCATCAACACCCAGCCCGTGTGAGCGTCTCGTGAGAACTCGTCATGTGTCCTCGCTCTACGTAGAATTTCCGATACAATCGCCAAACGTTTGATAAACATTAAATATAGACGACACATGCGAGAGATGAAGATCCTATGATCGACAGAGCGAGACAGGTCGACGGAGCTTAAAATATCCGTGGATGTTTTTATTTATCGAGTTTAAACGTATTTTACATATAAACTGCGAATAGCCGGCTAACTATGATCGCATCGTGTGCGAAAATTAATCTCATTTTTTTCCGTTTTCCTCGCTTTTTAATTGCAAGCGAAATATACACTTCGTGCATCGGCAAAATATCACTCTATTTAATGAACACGCTTTAGTTAATTCGTTCCTGAGGAGCGCACAGAGAATCGATAGATTCTTCGAAAACGGTTGCGACGTATATTAAAATGACGCAGGGGGTTCTACAATAAGAAAAAACTCGCACGATTAAGGCCTGGTTTTTCATTTTCTGGTTAATTTGTGGTTAGACTTAACCTAACGATAGTGTAAAAATTGTATTTTTCTAGCTATAGTTAATTACTAAACTAATGATTTTATAATGAGTAACTTTTAAAATAATGTATTTAATTGTTTGGCTGATAAAAACTAAGTAAAGTCGAAGGTTTACATATCACTTTATGTATCGTTTAAAAACTAGTTATTATTCATCAAAATTTTGACAAATTAGCTTAATTTGATATCCTTTTATTAATTGCTCTTATTCAACTTTTTTTCTTTGATTTTTGCTTAGCAAATTAAAATTAAAGAATTGAGAGTTTGTAACTTTTAAAGTTACCAATATAAAATAAAAATTATATTTTTCTATCTGTGTACTGAGAAAAATGTCTGGTTGAAAACGAACAAACTATAAGATTCTAATTATATCAATCAGAATTCCGATTATCTCCAGTAGAATTCTAGTAAACCAAAAAATTCTGATTAGTCCATTTTTAATCGAAGAAACAGAATTCTAAATAATTCAACTAGTCATTTTTTTTAAATAAGGTTTAGTAACTTTTAAAGTCATCACTTTAGCAAAATTACTAGTTTAGTAATTAATCATAGAAAAATATTATTTTTGCATTATCATCAAGTTAAGTGAGGTTAAATTTAAACCACAAGTTAACCAGAAAATGGAAAACGGATCTAAAACCATGGCATATAAAAAGATTTAAATAGTAAGTTATTTTCAGCCTCAGTTTTATTGCGTTTCAAGTCCAAGAAACCGAGTCAGTGCGCGGTTTATAGAACTGAAAAATATATTTATAAATTTGTATATAAACATTATCAAGCACTAAGATCCGCTTCAACCGAAAGTAGAATTCTTTCTCTAATTTGATTTATTTTTATCGGTCTAAATTTTATTACTTATAATTGTTTAACCAGTAAGTAAATCAACATTTTAAATTTGCTACTGCTTTATAAATTTGCTACTTACATTATTGCCTTATGTTCTCTTTGATTGGCAAATTCGCATACTGTTTACATCTTACTGCCTTCGTTTTTTTATATGCTATAGGCTTCAATCAGACGAGCGTAAAATATTGTCTCTCCATCTCCCCTTTTCCCAAACCACTGAGTAACCGAGACACGCCCGCCATCGAACAGCTGCTCGCGTGTTCGGCGTATGCTCGCGATTCACGCGTATGTCGTGCTCGCTTGCAGTACACGCTGCTGCTAACGTTATACATAGGGCGAAGGGGAGAGAAGCAGGAAAACCGGCATGACGAGGGCATTATTGTAAACGTTACGCATGCAGAAGCTGCGCGACATATGGATAAGTATGCGTTACATCCGAGTCCGCCGCGCGCACACACCAGACCGCCAGAAATAGTCACGCGTAAACACACGCGAGCGAGGATCTTTTACGACTTGCGAGCGTATGAAAGGATCGCGCGCGATACCGCATCGACAGGAACTAGGAAGGAGGACGAATGCGTCGAAATCGGCAGCCGGTCGTAAAGTCGCGGGATATCATATGCATTTACACGCTTGCCCGTCAAGACGACATCTTCCAACGTCGTCGTTCCTCTCCCCTCGCTTTTACGATCTCACCGTACATTTCCGCGTACGCGAATCGTACGTCGAAAGCGACTACGTGACTTGAATCTTGATGCATGCATCACGAGCGTGTTCGAACGAGACGCACAGGACCATTGTGGGGCCTCGGGGAAGAAATCCGACATCCACGAGCCTAATCCTGTCTCGCGATCCGCCGATCGATCGATCCGTCGCTGGAGGTTGTCGAGATGCAGGGAGCGACGCGACGAATGTTTAACGTGTACACACATCTTCGACCGAACGACACGTGCAAGAGGTCCTTCCCCCGCAAGGGGAAAGAGGAAAGGAGAGTAGTTGGGGAGATTTAAAACTATTCGCGCAAGCGCACTCACCATCTGCAGGTCGTTCCGACGCGACGATACCACTTCCAGAATATGAACCATTGGTGAACAATTAAGCGCGGGTGATCGTGGGTACTGGCGGGTGTGCAGACCCGCGAACTTTCCGAACTTCTGCTCTTTGCGAGCACACAATCAAGGTCGCGCAATCGTCGATCGTGATCGACACGCGTCACGAATTATCACAGCACGAAATGGGGAATTTACGCGAGATCGTCGATAGCGCACGTATCTCGCGCCACTTGAAGAATATCCAGATCGGTATTGTCAGCGGATTTGCGATATTTAGGAGTTCGACACCAAACAAGTTCCAGCGAGGATACTTAAGTCTTCTCGTCGTTCGTCTTTTCTCCGTTTTTTTTTTGTTTCTCCGCACCGAAAGCAAGCGATCACACCGGATACCGCGTAGTCTCGCTGGTAGGTACGCGGGGTTCGGTGTGTGCCACACGTGTGCGTACAAAGAGGGCACGAGCGGAGCGAGCGAGCGGGCGCGACAATGAGAGCAAAAGGGAATAGAGGGGACAGAGAGCTATAGATAAAACCCCGAACGCAGCTCGCCCGCGACTGATTCTCCAGGCCTACACGCACCCTCTAGTTTTCTCCCTTTCATCCCCCACTACCCACCCTCTCGACCACTATCCCCTTCCTCCTTCTGCACCTCCTCCTCCTCCGTCCTGTTCTGTCCTCGCCTGCCCCCGCCTCCTTTTCCGCCACCCTCCGTACTCCTCTCACCCTTTGTAAGTCTCCCTCTTATCCCCTACATGCGCCCCCCTCTCTGAACGCTACGCACCCTTTGCGAGAAAGCCCACGCACCCTCGGAGCAGCCGATATATTATCTCTCTCTCTCTCTCTCTCTCTCTCTCTCTCTCCCCCCCCCCCTCCTCCTCTCTATCGCTTTATCTCTTTTCCACGCATTTTCTCGTAGTCCATCTTCTTTCCCTCCGCCTCTCGTGATATCGTAGTCTTTTCTCCCTGTCCTTTTCTATCGTCCCATATCGTCGGAACCCCATAACATTCGGCTAATCAAACGCGCGTTTCCAGGATCCCCGTGCTTACGGTCCTCAAAGAAAAAAAAGAAGAAAAGAGAAAACCAGGACACGCGAGAGGAGAGAAGCTGGGGCTTTAGAAGGTACTAAGAACCGGGATTCTAACCCTGGGAAAGATGTGTATATGCGTGTACATAACCGCATACACTTACGTACTACGCATCCTTGGGGAGGCGATGGGAAGTAAGTGGGGATCTGTTCTAGGTTGGAGCAGTAATGGGGAAACGTTCTTCGAGGCTTAGGTCTGTTTCATAAGATGAGATAGGATGATATCTATTAACACAGAATACCCGTTGTTGCAAGTCATTTTTTTCATGGAACGAAAGAGAGAGAGAAAGAGAGAAAAGCAACTTATATTTTCAAAAAGCGAAAAGCTTCTTGTATACCGCAGAATTTAGTATCGAGGTATTACGCAGTGCTCGCGCGATTTGACGATGAAATTAGGTCACCGTCGGACGTTATCTCTCGCAAAGGGGGAAAATCAACGGTTGATGGAGCCAGATAAAACGTATTCGTGAGCGACGTATGAGATCCGGCTTAATCCCACTATTCATGCGAAAATTTATCTTTGCCCGAGCGCTTAAGCGTAAGGAGATGCATTTCGAATTCGAACGAACATCGCTTGAAAGGAGGCAAAATAAAACACGCGAATGGAGAGGAGGAACGCGAAGGGACCCGCAGTTAACCTCTCGACTTCGGCCTCTCCTTCCGCCTCGGGGATTTGTTGGTCCAGAAGGACCACTCGTACGTACATTCGCGAAACTCTCTGCCGAGCTCTCTCTCGCCATACCCCCCTTCCTACAGGCATCATCCGCAGTTCGCGTTTTTAAAGGGCGCACAAAAGCCACCGGAAATTGCTGCCGGCTCTTCCGACTTACGTTACGGCCGGTTCTATATCTGTCCCTCTCTCGACCGATCTTCCCTTCTCCCTCCCCCCCCTCTCTCTACCTTTTCTCTGCTCCGTTCACATATGCCTCTCTTTTTCTTCTCTTTTTATCTATCTTTCTCTTCTTCTACCATCGACGATTTCACGAGTAGGTACCTACCGAGGCGGCAAGAGTTCCGATAATGGCGGATTTGGATAGCGGCTCGATCGTTTCTGCATCAGGGATGAGGCGCGAGGACGAATGGTCGTTGGCTACGGGCTTGGCTTTAACGAAGTATGATCATGGCGAGGTATATCGTGCGAAAGATCCGTCTCTCGCGTTCTTCATCGTGGTAGAAGGTAGCGAACGACGATAAACGGGTCGCCATCGGTTGGTCGTTTAATGTGCAATCCGTTCGGAGGCTGCGTTTCATTTTTACTGACAGTATATTGCTGCGATACGCTAAGCGCCAATCGGGGAACAAATTTTCATTATTACCAGTATAATAGCAACGTTCCGGAACGCAGCTAGGCTGCAAGTGATTTAGCATTTGTGCGATCGGTGCGAAAGTTATTCTAGAAGTAGTTTGAGTTTGAATAAAACGAGAAATATTTTATACAAATTGCTATTGGTATCGTAAATCCTATTTTAATCAATTAACGCATAGATAGATTTTTTGTACTATGTATATTATTTTATACTAAATGAATCTTATAACTTATTTCAAACATACTAAAGGCTGATAGCGTTAAGAAAGTATATTTTACTTTTGCTCGCTTTTATAGTAGAAATTAATTAAATCTGCAATTCTAATACGATTCTGAATTTGTCGAACTTATTGTCTTAAGTTTTAATTAAGAACCTTAAATATAAAATACTATGTGAACTTTATACGGAATTGTACATTCGATTCGAAATCTTGTTATATATGTAGAAAAAGTTGAATCGCGTTTATGAGTTGTTAAGAGGGCTGAAGCCGGAGTCTGCAACACACACAGCATGCTCCGGGGCTGCTGACTAGGCCGAAGTATTTACCTAGGGTGAAGATAGACGCGCACGAGGAAAGGTAGCAAGTGAAAGTTCGTAAGGAAAACTCCAACGAACCAGGCCGCGTTGCTTTTTGATGACTTCGACGAAGTTCGCCCCGGAACGATGAGGTCTGGGAAAGACTTCGAAACTCGAATGTCGATATGGAAAGTACGGGAGCCCGGATGTTATGGATTACGCGATCAATCTCGTGCGAAAATGGCAAAAAGTTCGTGGGCTATGAAGCGCGCACGAGAGGGAGAAAGAGAACAAAAAAGTTTCGTCGTTTCATTTGCCTATTTCGATGTCCATGCATACGCACAGCCATTGCGACCAGTTTTTACGTTTGCTATTGTAGAATGTAGCAAGATTGATTTCATGTTTCGTGATGAACTCCACAAGACGAACGATGTGCTAATGCTGTATCTGAGGAGATATTGATTCTATTATATCTGAATATGTCGTGCGCCATCTTAATAGCAATTTTAGCTGAATAGTTACGAGCCATTTTAATAATCAGGTAAGACCGTTTAGAAATTTAGATTAATCGAATTTACACAATGGAGAATTATTGGTGCTTTATCAATCGAGACATATTCACGGAAAAAAAAGAAATATTTCATGATGTTAGGACACACAAACTTTATTTGTCTTACGATTGATGTAAGTATATAACTATAAGGTAATCTGTAGACACTTATATTCTGGTATTAATTCAACAGAATTTTGTGACGTAATCGCACGTGATCTATTATGTCACTTGTCAGTTCGGAGTCGATCGATCTCTCATAAATTATCGGATAATTTTCGTCTAACTCCAACGAGACGTCCACTCGTCTTCCATCAAGTTTGACGTACGTGACGCTACGAGTCTGGTCCTCCATCTCCGATTTTCACGTCTCTTTCTGTTCAAGAATCCGAAAGATTGAGTAACATACCCGATCGCGGTTCAAACTGTCGCTATCGAAACTTCTCTAATGGTGGCTACACATCGTTCGTCTTTAGTGGATGCGATTTGATCGCGGGACGGTTATTGCGCGCACGCGGAATCGTATAAAAGGCAATAATGCTGAGATGCGAATGCGATGGAAGTAGATTTTAATGTCCTCAAGGGTGATATTGATACCGCGGAGGTTGAAACAGTGCTCTCTCGAGAATACGGCGAAATCTGATCGCGGACGATGTTATCGTGATATGTATATCCAGGGCGGTAATATTATTCATACGCGGTATGCGTTTATAAAGAAGCCACAGGCCAGGGTAGAAAGATGCGATCGTGGACTTTGAAGCGATCCTCTCCATAGCAACCCGGGGGAACCTCTTACTCGGTCTCCTGGTATCAGAGTCCACGATTAGCGACCCTTTTCTACTAACTCACAAGTCCGCATTTGCTACGAAGATCCTTCGCTCCGTGACTCTTCAACATTCTTCGTATTGGTCTTATTACGTTTCTTCCTTTCTCGCGGTTTTTATATCTTCTTTGCCTAATGATTCTTCCCACGAGAAGTTTCCTTCGTCCCACTTTATATTATTTTTTTTTTACCATGATACTTTCATTCTCGTTTTGCGATCTTACATAATCAGGGATAAACTTTTCGAAACTTCTGCATGTACAATTGAAATTGAGACCCTTTAAAAATTGAATATTGAATATATATATATATATATACCATATGTACATACATATATTCTCGATCTTTTATGTGTGTTCGATGATTACAAAAGATCATACAAAAAAGTGGGTTGGTCTGTGATTGATCGGTCTTGCGTAAGAAATGAAAAAGCGACCGAGTTTTAGTAGGGTAACGTAACTGATGGCATCAACGCGTTTTACCCCCTTCGTTGCGCTATGCTCTTACATTCGAGTGAGCGCACGCAATCAGCTAGTTATTTTGATAGCTAAAAAGAACCGTGCCATCTGTGTTGTTTCCCGAGGAAATAGAAGGTGTACATACAGTTTAATATTGGAGAAACTCATTTACTTTTGCTGCAATTTCTATAAAATTTCTATAAAATTATCCGCTCTTATAAGTAAAGACTATTATGATCATAGCAACTGTTATCTTATAGTAACTTCAACTTTGGGGTAACTTATAAGTATAGTAACTTCAATATTTTTCGTAATAAAATTATTAGTAAATTTTTAAATTCTAGTCAACATCAAATTATTAATATTCTTATAAGATGCTTATAAGTATCAATATTATTAAATTGTTTGTCACACAATTTAATATGTGATATTACTAGTTCTATTCATGATTTTCAAGACCGAAAAAGATTTCGATGTGCGGTTTATAAAATTAAACATGTATATAAATTCATACTGAAATCTTTAAGCACTAAGATCAGTTTCGACCGAATATAGAATTTCTTTGACTTAATTAGATTTATTCTCGTCGGTTCAATTTCGATTCAACATTATAATTATTTTATTGTTAGAAGACAGGATCGACATACTATTTTGATCAATACATTTCGTAAAAGTGAATATGAACATATTTAGCGGAGAACTAAAAGTCCAGAAGTTTATCGAGAATTCCCAACGATGGTTATCGTATAGCGATTGATTTTGTTGTACGGAAAGAACGCGCGTAGTAGAAGTCACAGCA